CAGAAACCCCACTGATTGCTCATGGTGAAGGGCAGAGAAAGATTCCCTCATGGCTCTGGCAGGTGGAGGTAAAGAGTAATGTTTGTGAAAGATGCCCAGAGCTTTCCTCATAACAGAAGCCTGCCTACTCCCTAGAGGAATGACTTTACCAGAGCCTTGTCCTAAAGCTAGGGAGAAGGTCACTCCTCTCATCCAGCCCCTCACCTCAGAGGGATGGGAAAGCTCTTCAAGAAGAAACACATATGAAGGTCACAGGCCACAGACTCAAACCTACTGTGAGACTTGAGATTTAATCATAAAATTAGAGAGCACACACTTACTACCACACTGACAGGTTTCCAGTATAACAGTGGATTGCCTCTGAAAGAGGCACAAGACATGGGTTCTCTCTGAGAAGATGCGCTTAGGAAAGCCCAGAGTCAAAAGGGGAAACAGAAACAAGGGCTCCAGAAGAATCTGAAACCTCCGGCAACAAGAGCTACAGCAAACGTTAAACACAGCCTAACTCCTCGCAAGGTTAACATAAATGCTCACACTACAAAACTATCTCCGTTCCTATCACTCAATACAGTATGTCCAGCTTTAAGCAAAAAAATTTACAAGGCATAATAAAAGCAGGCAAAACACACAGGTGAAGATCTGTGATCAAACAAGAATTGAGAGAGGATCTCAAGCAACCGTCAGAACAAAACTCATGTGGGATACAGATGTTAGAATTATCAGACGGAATTTGAAATAACTATCATTAATATGTCCAGGGCTCTAATGGAAAAAGTGAACAACATGCAAGAACAGATGGGTTATGTAGAGGATGAAAATTCTAAGAATCACAAATAAAGGCTAGAAATAAAAAATACTGTAACAGAGATAAATAAAAAACATGACACCTAGGCATATACTCAACCTAGAGAAAACCAAAGACAAAGAAATATCTTGAAAGAAGTCAGACGAGTCAGGAAAAAGCACTTCACCTTTAGAGGAATAAGGACAAGAGTAACAGTGGGCTTCTCTTCAGAAACCATGCAAGCAAAAAGATAGTCAAGTGAAAAAGTTAAGGTGTTAAAAAAAGAAAAAACAGCAACTTAGAATCTGTATCCAGCAAAAGTATCCTTCAAAAGCAAAAGAAGTACTTTCTCAGACAAGCAAAAACAGAGCAGGCCAGACGACCTGCTCTGCAAAGAAATGTCAAAAGAAAAATTACTATATACACCAGAAATTTGGGTCTACATAAAGAAGAGTGTTGGAGAAATAAATGAAGGTAAAATCAAATATTTCATTTTTAAAGCCTTAGTTGATCTAAAAAGTAACTGTTGAAAGTAACAGTAACAACGTATTAGGTGATTACAGCATGTGGATAAGCGAAATGAGTGACAGCAACATCATAAGGGGTGGGAGGGAGGAATGGGGAATATTGTTATAAGGTACATTCACTACACATGAAAAGTAGTGGTATTTCAGGGTAGAACTAGATTCGCTTAAAATATGTTGTAAACTTGGGCAACGATTAATATTTTTTAAAAGGAAATATTACTGAAAGTACATTGGAGGAAGAACCAGAGACCAAGGATGTAGACCTCACTTTGTGGGCCCATTTCCTCATCTGTGAAACGGTATAGTTAGAATAAATCCTCTCCCTCTCCCTCCCCCCCCTCTCTGATGCCCTTCCTGCTTTAGTCATTCTATGACTAAAAAAAAGTTAAATAAATAAAAAGCCTACCTTGTTCCTTGAGGAGTATCGACAAGGAGTGATATCTATACAAGATATTTATGCCTTTTGAAAGGTATAAAAGCCTTTTAAAATAATCAGTCTCCCAATTACTTCAGTAAGTTTGGGTTTCTGTATTTCCATACTGAGTTGCCTTTAGCAGGTTTATCCAGTAAGTATAACAAAATATTGGATTTTCTCACCTGGTTCAGCCGCTCTCAATACATTGTGCTGTAGTCAAGAACACATGAGGCTGAAAGGAAAAGGCCATTTTACAGTATTGATTTCACACAAGACATGTGCCTTTCAATCCAAAACAGAAAGAACCGAGCTGCCTTCCTTGCCTACACAGAGCTCATAATTAGTTTGTGATTACCTCCAGGTCTGTCAATACTTTCATTCCCTGGCTTCTGTCAATACACTTCTGAGTTGTGTACACACTTATGAGCTACTGAGAAAATATACTGTCTCATCTCCAGACTTTGCTGCTCTAACCCCTTTAAATAAAAATCCCCAACCAGCAGAATTCTACTCATAAGGCCAATTTCCAACTTTAAAACCATCTACCTAGTGGCAGACAGGTATAAATGCTTTCACCCTCAACAGACTCATATCTGTTCTAGCAGTTAACTTGCATTCTATTTTTGCCCTACTGGGAAATAAAAGTGGCGTGAAAATCAATGTTTCACTCTGGAGGAAAAAAGGGCCGGATGACCAGACATCGATACATACATTCCTTCCTGCATTCGACAGTTCTTCAAAGCACACTTGGCTAAATAAATTCTAACAGGCCCAAATGAATTGGATGCGGGTATTAGCTGGAACAAGGAGCAAATCTTGCTTGTTAAGGAGTTTTGGCTAATTAGGGAGTACTTCTTACAATAAGAAAGAATTCAAGAGGAAATGTAGTCAATGACTCTCGTCTGTGAATTTTATCCAAATGCTTCAGACAATGAGTCCCTCAGGCCAGGAGTTCAACTGCTCATAAGTAAAAATGGAGAAATTCAGACTAAGAGTTCTATCCATTTTCCAGGGTATTAGGGTACTCACCCAAGGGCTCTAAAGCTCAGCTCCAGACAACAGCATGGGGTAGTGGAAAAGTTCAAGGTCCACAGACAGCGGGGCTGGTTTGCACCACTTCATGCACATCAGGTTCTGCATAATTTGGAGGCATTTGGGACCGAATGCAGTTGCTTCTCAAGAGGAGAAAGGTGACTTTACACTGCTGCTCCAGATGCCACAGTCCAGTGGAGGTGGCAACATCAAAGCTTCCCTTTTGAGGAAATGGTTCTTTTCTTTTCTCTCCTTTTGCCAGCTGATAGAGTATGGCTTCTCAACCTAAACCACACTAAAGGAAGACACTCTAAAGTCAGGCATGTTTCTGCCTTTTCAGCTCAGCCCAAATATGATGAAGTATTTGTAAAGTTAAAAAAATATATATTGCTGGTAATAAAACAAGAAAGGCAGCGCTTGCCTTCGAGTGGTGTGTGAGTTCGGGTAATACTGGTATTCACAAAGACCTACATACTTCTGGGGTTTTTTTGGGGGAGGTTTTTTTGAGACCTACATACTTCTTAAAAACACAAAGGGCTGGGGTGGGGGGAGAGGAGGCGTGAGAGAGGGAGGGGGAGAGAGATGACTCTTGGCTAAGAGGTGTGCTGTAATAATAATGGAGTTTCAAAGACTTAAGAAGGTAGATGAAACCTGTGCCAGGTTCAATATATTTTTCCATCTCTCAGTCACACAACTTTTTTAGGTTCAAATAAAATTGCAGATCTCTTTCTAAATGAAAGGCAACCTAATAGTGTTTAAGAGCTCCAAGGTAAAAAGACAAAAAAACAAAACAAAACACCAATGGGAATTTCTAGGACATTTAGCTCCTTTGAAAACTTATCCTTATAATGCAAAGACCTGGCAGTCACCCACCATCTTAACCACTGTTGCATCATCAACAGAGACAACCGGACATTATGTGCCTCCTCATGTGATGCGATGGTGAGTAAACATTACCAATGCAGTCTTCCTGACAAATATGTTACCATAAATCCAATCATGAGGAAACAATTAGAACACTGCCCAATAATGGACATTCAATTAAACAACTGTCTTGGATTCTTCAAAAAAGCCAATGACATGAAAAAAAAAAGGCTATTATAGATTTTAAAACTAAATGGCCAAATGCAATGTATAAAACTTTCAATGGATTCTGGATCATAAAACAAATGGGCATCATATAAAAGACATCTTTGAGGCATTCGGGAAAACTGCACTACAAACTGTATATTGGATATACCTGCATTAATGTTAATTTCTTATGTATATGGCATTAGTGGCTATGTAGAGAAATGCCACTCTTAGAGGTATGCTGCAGTATCGACAGGGAAGGGTCTGTAGCTTACTTTCAAATGACTCAACAAGACTGAGTACACTGACTCGGATGATGATGTGGCTTCTCTAAATAGACTGGCAGGAGAGAGAATAGGAACCACTTATAACAAGAACTTTAAAATGTTACTGTGGGCCACATGTGCCTTTGTCAGAGGGTGGGAGAACTCTCTGGAATATAAAATAAATAGGAAAGAAGGATGTGTATGAAACAAAAATGACCATTACCTTGTATCAGGAGCCACAGTTCATCCAGAGGCCTGCCTGAGTTGTCTGCCCAAAACTTAACTTGTGTGCTATTAAAGCTATATTAATGAACAAAATCTGTAAATCCATAATTACATTTTGTGTTTTAACTGAGCATTTAAAAATTCAAGATACACAATTTTTTTTCTGAACTATTTAGAAAGCCTATTTTAAACTTTGAGTTAAAAAAAAAAATGAATCAAACCTTTCCCAGAGATAAATTTTTTACTTCTTTTGCAAAGTGGCTATTTAGGTAATATTTGCTATAATATTATAAGAAAATTTGTGAGGAACTACAAAGATGAGTACTTTGGCTATAGCTGAAAAACTGGTGCATGTTTGAGAATTTCTGATAGCATTAATGGGAACAGTGCCTCAAATGAAAACAATTATGTCAACAAAAAGAAATTCTTCTTCTTAGATCAGTCTTGCGGACTGAGTAAAAATGAAAAAGAAATCTCATATTACAGAAGCTTTTATAACTTTAAAGGAAAAGAGAAGCTCAGAGGGGAACTAGGATTTGCTACATGCGGCATTGCCACCTACTAGATCAGAACCAACACCAGCGTAGGAAAAATAACTTCCTTGTAAGACTCACTGCGCCATTTTTATGAACTCATATTTTATGGAGCAAGAAAAATAATCAGACAGAGCAACGGTGAGGTCTCTTTGGAAAATTTAATTTGGACCACATTTTCTTTCCCTTGCCAAAAACATCCAATATTTTCATACATTTTGGGTTCCACAGCTTACAAAGGGGCAGCGGGTTTCCTGCAGTTACATACTGTTCCCAACTTTCTATAGAAAGATCAGACATTTTCCAACTTTGCTTTTGAGTATTTCCTTGAAAATGCTTTAAACGTTCCTTATAATAAATGGCAAGTAAAACAAAGTAAGGCTTTATTTTCTCCTTTTCCCCCTTTTTTGGTACTGCATGTTGGAGGAGAAAAAGGAAGACGTGTCTCATCAGTTGGTACCCTGGGGGTTGCTGCTGGGTCCTCCGAGCTACACCCACATCATGAGGCCCTGATGCACCCAGCACTGAGGAGCCTGAGAAGGGTAAGTGCTGACCATCCTGTCAAAGCCAGGTCACAGCATGGGGCCTGCAGGCTGCCTGGGTCTTCTTGGTGCTCCCAGGGCTCCTGGCCCTTGGAATAACAAAGGAGCTAGGACCAAATCGCAGTACCACAGGCTCACATCTGTGGGCCTTACAATGTGCATTTACAGACTAAATGTAATTACTGAAAATGAAAAAAAAAATCCTTTTACTAATGCCTGTATCAAATTACTAGAATGAAAATAAAAGCATTTGTCTGATAAAACATGTCTTCTTTGTCAGATGAAAGGAACTCCCTTGCAAGATAATCTCAGTGATGTATATGTCACTATTTATACAGTTTTGCCTGGGTGCACAGATTTCTTTAATTGCATCTGAACAGCTTTGTCATTTTTCAAACTGGTAGTTTCATTAGCTTAAAAAAGGGATAAGGCAGCCAAATTTAACTAATTTTGGTTGCAGAATAACATCTCAGACATCACCCTTCATCTTCTCAAATGTTAAGAGCACATGATTAAAAGGTTATCAAACAGTTTCTTCTCTCAACAGGAAACTAAGCAGCTATTGTCATCAAATCTATCTCTAGTAAACACAGGGCCCCTCATAAATATAAAATTAAATTCTTTTTGAGGAATAGGTTTGTGATTTTCATTATGCAGGATTTACATTTATTTGCTGAATTTCATAGTAAAAAATGTGTGGTCTTCTCTTCGTTATTTTCATACACAAGGGACTTGATCGCCTGAGCAGGCTCCGGCACACAGACAGCAGGCTGGGTTCCCTGGCTTTGTTTCAGGGAGGGGAGCAGCCAATGTCGTGTGGCTCAGAAGCCGTGCAAGAACTCCTGTAGCTGGGTGACGATCTCTGTGTCCACAGTTTCCATGAGGGACTGGAAGCCTTGCTCTCCCAGCAGCTCCTGCTGTGCCTTGAGCTTCTCGTAGATGAACTGCTGCAGTGACACTGTGTGTACCGGGTCCTTCAGGGCCAGCTGTGGGGCAGAGAGAAGCCACAGTGTGTCAGAGGCAAAACAAGTCTCTCATGCATGTGACTGACTAAGATTCCCTGTACTCTCTTCCATGGCAACACAACGGCTTCTGCCTCCCTCAGTTCCTTAGGGCCTCTGAGCATAAGCTGGCCGCCCGATTTCTCAACAGCTGAGTGTTCATCCATGTAAGAGAGTCAACACCAGGTAGAAAGTATCCTAGAAGGAACAGAAAGTGCCAAAGAGCATTTAAACACACTTGACCAGGGTTCCTCTTTGGGAGACCAGGTGCTGTGCAGTGGCAGCTCAGGTCCCCAGGATGGACAGAGGAAATAAGCCCTTATCCTGAATTGCTGTGCTATTTACATTGATGTACACACTTCTAAATTAAAAGAGAAATAAAAACAATAAATAAAAATAAACAAAACACATACTCCTCCTCTCCCATTGGGATATTTGGAAAACAAAAGAAATATAATTAAGTTACAAATAGTCCATCATTCCACGCCCTAAAGGTACCAACCAAGAGAAAATATTTCGGTGGCTTGTCTTTTCTGTGCCTGTGGCAGGCGCATACACACAAACACATGAATATACAATTAGTCCTGCTCTTTGCATTTACGTTATTATGTAAAAAAAATTCTACTCTAACACACTTTAAGAATTCTAACTCTATGTCATAATGCTCTTTGTTATAGGCATGTTGAAGTAATCATGGCATAGTTTAAATACAATCTTTACCTATGATTTTGCTGAATAATTTATCAAAAACACGGTTTCAAGTGACTGTGTATACATACAGCCTTTCCTCTGCATTTCAGATAACTTTCTTAGGATCTCTGTCTCTCTGAGGAGAATTACTAGATTAAAGGGCACAGACAATTTTATGACTATGATTTGTACCAATTGTAAAAGGTGTAGGGGTTTCAGCTTCTGGAACTGCTGTTACTACTGGTACTAACATTATTGAAGTTCTCTATACTTTAAGGATTGAAAAGTAACACACCACTGCTTTAAGCTGTACATTTCTCTCATGATCAATACAGCTGAACATCTGCGAGGTTTTAAGTCAAGTGCATGAGTTTTGTGCCCAATATGGCTACACAGAAACTCTCTTTCCTTAATGATACTCAATTATATTCTAGGTAGATGGAATAGCTAAATCACATCTATTGTTTGCACAATGTAAACAGATTTTAAAATAATGACCACAAATGGAAAATAGAACTGAGAGGCAGAGACATAGATGGCACGAATTTGAAATTAAACCCTTTATGTGATCATTCTCGAGTTACAGGATAAATCCAAGGCAAAGGTGATTTCATTCTCATTTCCCTGGAAGGCGGGTAGAAGAAGGAACACCAAGAGGAGCTGCAGACACAAAGCCCTGCATTCACAAGCCTGAAGACATCACTCTACAAAACGCATAGAAACTGAAGATGAACATCTGAAAATATCTGCTCTCTTTCCCAACATGCAGCAATGTTCAGTATTATTTTAATTACTAAGAAATAGAACTCTTACTAAAGAGAATGCGGACTTTGTTGAAATATCATGAATTACCTATAACTAAAATTATCTGCTACAATGTAAATGAAAAGCAGTTGAGCTTGAAATTGATGTCCAACAAGTCACTCCAACTACAGAAATGAAAATTAAGAGTGTGGTTTAAATGCTCTTTCAATTTGCTATAAAAAACTTATCACATCCCCACACTTTAATTTCCAACAGATTAATAAAAAGGAAAAGTATACTAAACCCACAAGGTACGGCATAACAACAATACACCAGTATAATACTTTTAAGTGTATTGATCAGACATGCGAACATTAAAAGCATGAATCTCTTTTAGAAGGAGAGTTGTGGAGGGGAGCAGGAAGGAAACGGACACACACAGTCTTCAACTGCACACCTTAAAAGAGCTTAAAAACCAACTTTTTAGTTAAAAAAAACCCACATTAGCAAATAAATGTCCATTCTGGCTTAGGGTAGACATTCATTAATCATAGGATTAATACCTTCTTTTGAAGAAATGTCATAAAAGATCGACCAAATGATTCTCCATAGAAGAATCACTGCTACACATCCATTAAAAGTCCAGATATCACTTCTATGAATGTAACAGTGCCTATCATTACTAGAATTAATAGTTACTAAAGTCAATAACAGCATTTTCAAAACTATTACTTTTATATAAACAATTCCCACCTAATAAACTTGAATAAAGAATGCCTACCATGTTTACTGGGTGGTACATTCCTGACAAAATAATTAGTTTTCTAATGTAATAAGTAAATTATCATTAAGATAAATCGCTGTTGGAAACAATATATAGTGAAGTAGACTTCTACTTTCAAATAGAGTAAAATACTTTTTTCTAAGTCTTCCAGCCAAGTACAGTAGACCCTTAAACAATGCAGGGGTTAGGAGTACCAACCTGCCCATGGAGCTGAAAATCTGCATTAACTTTGATTCCCCCAAGACTTAACTATTAATAGTTTTCTGTTGACTAGAAGTATTACCGGTAACATAAACAATTGATCAACACATATTTTGCATGTCATATGCATTATATACCGTACTCTTACAATAAAGTAAGCTAAAAAAAATGTGATTAAGAAAATCATAAAGAGAAAATGTGTTTACAGTGCTGTACTGGATTTATGGGTACTCTAAGTTTACGTTATCTGTCTACCAGATGAATCATCTGTCAGTACGCACATCAATATTGTCTCATATGATACAAAATACTGTAGATGTTATACGTACTACTAACACTAGACATCAAAAATGAAAAGACAGGGCCAGCCGAGTGGCTCAGTTGGTTAAGAGTTGGCTTGGGAGCTCAAGCTCTGAGCAGGAGGGCCGCTGCTTTGGATCCCACATGGGCCAGTGACGCTGCGCCCTCTACAGCTAAGATGGTGAACAACAGCTCAACCTGGAGCTGGGCTGCCGTGAGTCGCCAGCGACAGTGTAGGCTGCAGTGGGGCTGCAGTGGGTTGATGTAAGCTCCCGGGAGCGGCCAGCAGCCGGCATGAGCTGCCGTGAGCCACCATGAGTGGCCGTCCAATGGTCAGCGAGCGACTGCCTCACCCAGGAAGAGCACAATAATCACAATACCAACATGGGCCGGTGAAGCGATGTCCCCCACAACTAGACTGAAGAACAAAAGGACAGCAACTTGTCTGTTCCTCTTCCCCGATTCCCCAACACTGTTCCCTCTCCCAATTCACCAATAAAATCTTAAAAAAAAAAAGTAAAGATAATGTGAAAAAAAATTCATATTTATTTACAGGTATAACTATTTATGCATTGATTACAAAGTAGCAGCAATATGATTGGGTTTATGGTAACTTAGTGTAATTGATATAATTCTTTCACAGTAGCCTAACCTATACATTAATGAGTGAATCGTTATAAAAGTTTTATGGTATACAGTATTATAGTCACATTCACAACACAGTACTGGAAACCTTGTTACATTTTTTTTTAAAAAACTCACTTACCTGTGATGATGATAAGCTGAAATACCATTTCCCCAATTACAAGAGAGGCATACTGTAATGTAATTCTTAGAAAGCACTCATTAAACAGTAAGAAAACTAACATATTATTAATTTATATTAAGTATCACTCACCTTATGCCTATGTAAGGATAGGCTATCCATTGCCATACAAGTCTTGCACACAATGTTCTTACATGATGAATCTTAAGGCAACAATGATGATGACACAAAAACGTCTCATGTAATTCCGTACAGTAATTAGATTTTCACATGAAGACACTCACACACATAACAAATAAACTTATTAACTGTATAGCAAGATGACTATTGACTATTCATTGAGTGGGAGTCGATCATCATAAATTTCTTCATCTGTTTTTGCTTTTTCATTTCTCTAAAATGTTCTATGTGGTACCAATCCTTCATCCACCATTTACTTTAGTTTCAGTGCCTGCATCACAGAAGGGTCCATGTCATAAAAGAAGTCAAAAGCCATCTTGAATAATCGGGACCCTTTTGCCAGACTGTCTAATGTCAGTTTGTTCTCTGGCACTGCTTTTCCTACATTCACCTCCTCATTGGCGCTGGTTTGGAAGCGCTCATCTCCATCAAGCCATCTTCTGTCAATTCCAGTGTGATGTCTATTACCTCTTGAACTTTCCCAAGATCTATATCTTGAAAACATTCACCCCCACCTTATTTTACCATTTGCACAATCTCTTTCATGATTTCCTTAACTGGTCTGTCATAAATACTGTAAAGTCATGCACAACATCTAGACACTGTTCTTCAGCAGGAGTTTATTGTTTCAGGCTTAACGGCTTTCACAGCTTTTCTAGAATAATAATGTCATCTTCAATGGTGGAATTATTCCAGACTTTCATGATGTTCTCCCTATTGGGGTTCTCTTCCATAGCGTTGACAATCCTTTCCACATAGTACTGTGTGTTGAGTCTTAAAGGTTCTTTGACCTGATCAAGAGGCTAAATTAGAGACGTTTTGTGTGGGGGCAAGTAGACCACTTCAAAGCCTTTGGTACTGAACTCCTGGGGCTCTCTAGGTGACAAGGGGCACTGTCTAGTATCAAAAGAGCTCTAAAAGGCAGTTCCTTACTGACAATGTACTTCCTGACTTTAGGGACAAAGCATCAATGGAACCAATCCAGAAAAAGGGTTCTTGTCCAGGCCTTCTTCAATGCTCTGGGGTTAGCAGCTTCATAGATAAGGGCATCCTGATAAAAAACTCGACTGCATTTGCATGAAACAGTAGAGTCAGCCTATCCCTTCCTGCCCTAAATCCTGGTGCTCCCTTCTCTTCCTTACTAATTAATGTCCTTTGTGGCACTTTTTGGTTTTTTTCCCAGAATAGGGCACTTTTGTCCTGCACTAAAAATCTGTTCAGAAAGATATCCTTTCTCCTCAGGGATCTTCATAATGATGTCTGGGAACTCATCTGCTGTCTCTTGGTCAGCAGAAGCTGCGTCTCCTTGTTATACTGACA